CGGATGCGCGATATTTTTTTGCTTTTGCAACCCTCGACGCTTTGGCATTTCTGTTGACGCGAAAGAAAATAAGTGCTAGGAGTTGCAAATTAGCAAGTCGGAGAGTTTTAAAACTAAATGGATTTAACGAAGCTGCTAGAGAAGAAAGATGGAGCTCGGAAGAGAGAGAGAAAATCTCATCGACGCGACATGGCAAAATCATGAAACGTTTGTATGCATCTAATCTTGCATGAGTACGCATGTCCCTTAAATACGTGACTGCTACGAGACTTGGAAGATTTTCCTGTGTAGCTTCGGAGGGAGAGATAGCGTATAAACCGAAGACTTTGAGAGAGCACGTGTATGTACGTGCGCGCGCTCTTTTCCTATACATAGGTATATACGCGTGAGCTTGTAACTTCGATACTTACACGAGCGGAGCTTTTACTAGACACGTATTCAGTTGTTTATTCGGCGCGTATTTTTTTCCGAAGAAAACGCCCGACGATCGGTAAATTGCTGCTTGACCTTAAAAGAGAAAAAATGTCAAATCGAGACTGCGAAATACATTCGAACTTTATATATCGTCGCGATCCACTCGCCGAATCAGTCGCGAAGGACTCTCGAGTTAAATTTTCTATCTAAACCGAAAAAAAAGGAAAATAAATAAAAAGTATATAGTTTCAAGATCGCGGCTGCGCGAGCGAGGCAACACGATTGAGATTCGTCAAATAAGAGCTCTTCTTCTCTTTTTCTTCGTTCTTTCTTCTTCTCGCCGAATCGAAAACGGCAATCTTGAGCGCGAGAAAAAGCTGCAGAATAGATTGCATCGAGCGCGGCGGCGGCGAACGATCGCGTTAGGAAGCAGTAACTTTCAAAGTCTCTTTATACGTACGAATGTGCATGTGTATGTGTACGTACGTGTGCGCGCGAGAGTCTAGCGTCTATGTCTCCTCTCGGTCTACTCGTGCTGAGGTGGGTTATATACTTTAGCCGCACCGTCAAAGTTATAACGAGAATTTCTCTTTCTTTTTTTTCGTTCTCTCTCTCTCTCTCTCTTTCTCTTTCTCTCTTCGACCCGTAGATTTTCGAGTTTTCGCGACGCACGTTTTTTCCCTCAACGGCCGTTTCCTTTTTTCACGACTTTCTTCCGCAAGCCAGCTCTATCTCGCAGGCAGCACGTTTCTACATATGTAGGGGCTCAATAATTCAGACTGCAAAAATGTTCCTGCTCGAGCTTGCACCTAATTTCACATGATCATCATAGGTAAACAAGCACTTTGTAAACAACTCCGAAGCATACTTATACATAGCAGAGATTTTGCATCACCGAGTATAAAGACTATACGATCGGTTTGCTTAGCGAGCTTGAGAGCGTTTACAACTTCTTTTTCTCGGGTGGCGGTGACGCGCGTTTCCGCGCATAAATGATCTGATGTACCGTCAAGTGTAGACAAGCGAAAAAAGCTATGGTGAGAGTTTTTTCAGCAAGACTCATTGGATTAAAGAAGCGTCCAGCTGACTGACAAGAAATAATAAGTAATGGCAATGAGCAGTCTCGAGGGTAGGGACAAAACAATGTACCAACTTGATTAATTATGTTTCTTCAGAAAAAATCTACAGCATATAAACGTATAGCCGCTTATAACCAATAAATAAAAACAAAAAGGCAAAAACTTTTGATTTAAATTTATTCATTAGAATAAAGCTTAAGCATAAAGGAAACACAACCGACACTTACGAAGGCTGATTGATGACTATATGTACACTTACTGTACTTATACTTACTCTAAAAGAGAGAGAGAGAAAGACGGAAGGTATTGCGTTGCTCGCATGCGCGCGAATAAAATGCCCCTGAGAGAGACATATTTCAGACTTATTGCTGCTGTCAGACATAGTTCGCTTTTTCTTTCTCTTGCTCTTGGTAAATGTACTTTTATCGTGCCTAGTTTCCTTACACTTTTCTCTCTCTCTCTTTTTCAAGCGCTTTGTATTTTACGCGATATTGTTACGCTCGCGAATGTCACAGACTCATGCGTCTGTGAAAGAAGAGCGAAATCCTAGAATTTTTTTATGAACTTGAGGCTCGAAAATATTCACTAATGATTGCAGCAGAAAATCGAAACTCTTGATTTTTCAGACGAGAAAATTTTTGATGAACACAGCTAGAGACTATTTCTATATCCTACTTTTTTTTCGATTTCTTACAGTCCTAAAATGGAACAAGCGAGGATCACGCGGAAATATTATACCGAGTCAGCAGTGCAATAGCAGCTCCGTTCCCGAGCGATGAATTTGTTTTATAACTTGTTCTTATATACGCGCCGGTACACCGGGCGAAGAAAGACATCCCCTGAAATCCGAGTCGGTATAAAGGATACTGAGTGTGTGTGTATGTGTGCGTATACGAGAACAAGGACGACGATGATGACAAAAAAAATATCAAACCGAGATGATATATTTTCCTTTTATTTTTCTACCTGAGAGAAGTAGTCAAGAAGTAAATTTCTCGTTTTACGTTAAGATGTCGAGTATGTTTGATGTGGCGCGTGCAATTGCGATTTTGTTTCAAGACACGGCGACCGTCAGGAATGAGAAGAAACGTCCGGCTGGATAAGCGTTGCACAAGCTGTCAAATCTTGAAAGCTAGTAAACTTTTGCAAAATGATCAGTGTTAACGTTCTTAGTCATTGCATTTCTTGAATGACGCATCGATGAAAGGATATTATAAGATCGTCTTTAGAAAACTAATTATAAATTACCACAAAATAAACATAACTTTGGTACACAGTATTTCCCTATTACGAGTACCAGCCTATAAGCAGACTCCAAGGCCAATAAAGATAAGATGGAAAATAAGAAGACTTTCCATGATTGAAAAAATTGCAGTTTTTGTTGAAATCGATTTATTTCAAGTACAACAAAACTTTAGTCATCTTCGTCTAGAAACTCTAATATTTTTACAAAACAATATGCGTTAAATTTGCAACACAGTAGCTTTGTCAGCGATGAAAAATGTGGGTCGATAATGATAGGAAGCGTCGATCCATCAGGGCGTAGCCGATTATCGGTTGCTTTGTAGGTAAACTTGACCTCATGCTTCGTAGTTCCTCGTCTTTACTCTCTCTCTCTCTCTCTCTCTTTCTCTTGGTGCATATGTGTATATGCATAAACACATATATGTTCGAGTACATGTTTACCGCTGCGTTGATCTTGCATGTCTACGTCTGTGTGTGTCTATGCGTGGGTGGTAGTCTCATAAGCATCTCAAAACGACCTGTATTTCGCTTCCTCTTACCAAAGAGAGAATAGTGTATATAGATGTAGGTGATTCATTTCAGCATAGCAACGCGAGCATGTGTGTATGTATGTGTGTGTTTATAAGCAGGGATGACGACGTCGCGAGCAAGTGACATTGCGTCAGAGAGAAAGTTTGAGGCTGCCTTTGAGACGCGGAGCATCGGCAAGCGTTCGAGAAATATTTATTTAAGCTCATCAGAGACTGAGCGACGCATACGCAAGCGAACGGGTGCGCACACGTGACTGTTTTGATAAGGCGATACAGACTTCGACAGGCATAATATATGTAGTACATGCACTAAAAAAATAATGAAATGTTGTTATCCCTAGTAGGAATGTTCAAATTTATGCAAAATACATGAAACTAGGCTCTCATTACCACACGCTTCGTACGTATTTATATTGTCTTCTCGCAACATGACAATTCAAGGGATAAAAGCACAATTTAACAGAAATCGCTAATGAATAAAATATTATACATAGTCCCGAATAAATTAAAAACATTTATGAACATTATAAATGCTTAAGCTAAAAGTTGTGTCTTGCTTCTATATTCAGATTAAATTGTCACCGTTCATTTATATTTTTAAAACAATGTATTTGAAATTTATAACTAAAAAATCCGCACATGTCGGCATATGAGTAGCTCATAATTGTGAAGAACGAAAACATCATCTCTATATATCCTCATAACGCATGAATATACAGATCATCCTAGAACGATAAATTTTAAGAAAATCTCAAACGTTATACGTAGAGTAGAGAAAGAATATAGGATAAGGCGAGCGCATGTAGAAAAGAAATATCAGTATATTCACGCGTCTCGCCCGTATAAGTTTGTCCAGATCTTCCTGGGAAAATTATTACACAATTACGTCCTGCTATCCATTTTAAAGCGGGAGAGAAGAAGAGGGGGTAAGAGAAGGAGTGCTCTATATGCGTTTCTGAGATTTCGTAGCTCATGTGTGTCGCAGCTATTATACATAGGGGGTCGCCTCGCTGCCATACATAAGTATGAAAAATGGCACGGGCAATAAAATTGGCGATAAGACTTCCGTAAGGCGTTATTCTCGCGATATTTCAACAAACACGCGCGCACGCACATGAGCAAAATGAAATAAAACGAAGAAAAGGGTAGTGAAGAATATAAATATCCGGCAAAAATGTAACACTTAATAATGCGAAGCGTCGTTTCGCTGCGATATTAAACTATTTCATTACAACGGCGATAAATCATGCCGTGTAGCCTTGTAAACTTCTATTTTCTAATTCAATGAAAATTCATTTTCATTTGTATCTTGGATGAAATTACGTAGTGATTGAAAGTTTACAGACATCCTTAGAAAACTTGAAACATTAAACAACATATGGTGGAGGTTGAAAGTGGTATTATCTGATCCAACATTTTTTAAACAATTAAATCAAAAAGAAACCAATAAATGGTTATATATTAAAAAACTTTGCAAATAGTCATTTTACTGTCATAAGCCCATTATTAATTTTCTACCGAGAATTTCTATAGAGGACCCTTTTCATAAATACAATGAGAAACTGTGTGGTAAGATTTCCCTCGACTTGGAATACCTGACAAATTTAATAAATGAAGACAAATTTGTACAATAATTACACTACATTTTTCTCTTAAAAGTTCTTACGGTAGATCAACCTCATCGGAAGTACGAGAAATTTTTTGAAAAATAAAAGAACAAAGTGGAACTTACCAGTCGTAGCAGCACCGAGTCTCAGCACAGCATCGCCTTGCAACGATATGGACAGAGTGGCGGTATCCTCCAACCTGGCGAGCACGTCGTCCGAAAGATCGTCGGGCTCGCGCAATCTGAGCGTCACCTCGCCATTACTGTTGGTGACCGTCGAGCCGTTGCCGGTCAGCAAGGTGTTGCTCGTATTGGCCGCTACGTTAGCGCCACCACCCGGGCTCGTCGAGGCAGAGTACATGAAAACCGAGCCATAGCCATGGAGAGATTGGAGTGGCAGTCGAACGCCACCCACCTCACCCACTGGGCCCTGCAAAAATACGAGTTGATTCGTTACATGGGTTTATTGCGCATCGATACTACGCGGGTGCATAAATGCGCGCGAGTGTACACAACTATCCAATTATAATTAACTAAATGGATAATACCCCGTATATATAAGCTTAGATATATGAGCGCGTCCAGCATAAGTCGGCCACCCTGCGCGATTACGGCATTTTTGGCCGAAAGTGTCGTATGTTTAGCTCGCTCGGAAACGTTTACCAAGGGTCAGAAAAAAAATCCAAACCCATGGATCGATAGATTTTTTCCTCCTCTTTCTAGTGGTGTAACTCAAAAAATTCTTAAAAATTGATTTTGAGATTAAAACTCGACTTGAATGTTTAAATCAATTTATCCAAAAAATGTATCCTCCGATTGCAAAATAAACTGCACCAATCGAAAGAGGAGGCAAAAATCTATCGTAAACGATGTTTTCCAGGATGGAGAAATGATAAGAACTATTAAAGATATCGAGATGAATAGCGCGGGACGGCGCGCGCGGACCTGTTTTCCGTGCGCCAGCGGCGGCACATACGCGGCGCGGTGTCTTGGTCTTTTCGACTCCCTCGTAATCGCTTAAAAAGGGCTGGAAAAATAATGTCAACACGTAAATCGATAGATTTTTTTCTCCTCTTTCTGATGGTGTTATTGAAAAAATTCCCAAAAATTTTTTTCATAGTCAAAACTTGACTTGAATTTTTAAGTTAATATTTCTTCTAGTTTTTCCATTTTGGACCTCAAAATTAACATTACTAATCGAAAGAAGAGGAAAAAATCTATCGATTTACGTGTTTAAATTATTTTTCCAGCATTTTTTTAGCGAGTCGAAAAGACATAGGCAGGAAAACAGGTCCGCGCGCGCCGTCCCGCGCTATTCATCTCGATATCTTTAATAGTTCTTATCATTTCTCCATCCTGGAAAACATGGTTTTCGATAGATTTTTGCCTCCTCTTTCGATTGGTGCAGTTTAAATTGAAATCGGAGGATACATTTTTTGGATAAATCGACTTAAACATTCAAGTCGAGTTTTAACCTCAAAATCAATTTTTAAGAATTTTTTGAGTTACACCACTAGAAAGAAGAGGAAAAAATCTATCGATCCATGGGTTTGGATTTTTTTTCTGACCCTTGGTAAACGTTTCCGAGCGAGCTAAACATACGACACTTTCGGCCAAAAATGCCGTAATCGCGCGGGGTGGCCGACTTATGCTGGACGCGCTCATATATACCTCACTCATTACAATTCTAATCAACAATATATATCGACCGATTGCTTTTCATTACGCTGCCAGGGCGTTGCTAATGTCAACCACGCCGCCAATAGTTTATGCCTTTCGAAGGCGCAACTGCTCCACTGTTCATTAATTAGCACATCGTTAATACATTGAAAACGGAAAAAAATGTATGATTAAATGCCTATAGTTTTTCTTCTTTTTACGAGCAGAATTTATATTCTTTCCTGCACTGCAACGTATGTTACAAAGCGTCGCAGCTCAGTAAAAAATTACCGTGAAATGAGCAATGTTTATCGTATCCCATACACGCACGTGTACAGTTTGTATAAATAACAACTTTGCGGCACTGACGCTTTTCACAAGCTCGAGATTATTCCATTTAATTATCAACACAGTGTGTATATGCATGTACAAGGACAAACTGACAGGTAAATGATACGATCGGTAGAAAGAGAGAAAGGGAGAGAGAGGGAGAGAGAGAGACAGAGAGAGTTGGAAAAGAGGAACTCGTCCACGCGAGATAAGCCGCGAATTAAGCCGGGTGCGCGTAAATTGGAATTGCTTCGTGACATAGAGCGAGAGGCCTAATGCTAATAAAACGTAATTCGCTTCCAATAAGTTTAACCCGATCATTCAAAAGGATTTGCGAGCGAACGAAAGCTCTTTTTACATATGCAAGTGTCGTTCTTGTATTTCACTGTTGTTTTATTTATATTTAGTTTTATTTTTTCTCACAAAGAGTTTCGAGGCTTACGCGAGTTTCTTCGCGTGGGTAAATTAACGTTTCGAGTCAAAATTTGACGAACTTGCATAAAACACATGTATATTTTGACGAAATTAGCTCCGTAAGCTGGTATTGAATTACCTTTTAGTGAGAGTTTCGGCTCTCTTTCTCTCTCCCTCTCTCGCTCCCTATCTTTGAATACGACGAGCGCGTGGTATTACACCGTAATAATGCACAAAAACTAAAGAAGCTCGGCTTCGCTGGGCGCAGCGTTGAGTTTTCATTCAAATGTACGCCAGGCAGTTAATGCTCGCTCGCTCTCTCTCTGTCTCCCTCTCATTTAGAGTGTACAACGCTACGCGCTGAAACCATATTATATGTAGGCGAAACGAGGAATTAATAGATATACATTGCTAAAAGCATATTTCGAGGCTAGCGTGTATAATGTACCAGCGCATCAGTCGCTCGCGCGATGCGTACTTATATATACCATACGTACACGATTCATATGTATGCAATTGCATCTATGTGTGCGTATTCATGTAATATTGTACTCGCTTACACACAGACGCACACTGCCTCTCCCTATTTTTCGCTCGCGCTGTACGAGTTGCTCTTCTGCATTATTATATGTATATAGATAGTATACATAAATACGCATGCAACAAGCTAAAAGCCTTTGTCAACAGTCATACGAGCGTGAATCGGCACAATTAATAATAATAATGCGCATTATATAATATAGATGTTACAATAAACACTGCCCTATAACTTGTTCATTCGTACATGCATATACGATGCACTTTAAACCGAAGCGCATTATTTCTCTCCTTCATGTCCGCCCGTATGTGTGCTGTATTACAGGTACACACACTTTATTTTGAAAGAAGCCTTTTCTTTCGCAGCAACTTTAAAAAAGAAGCTTCTGGACTGGTTTCATCATTGATATGTAGTTTGTGTACGTGTGCGTTTATTTTGTGCTGTGTGTGGACCGTTTGTAATTCACTTTAATGGTCAACTCCTCTTTCTACTAGTAGTCGTACTTGGAAGCTCGTATAATGCCGGGGCTTTGAAGGAAGAGATGGAGATAGAGAATTTCACCGAGTCAATTTAACAACAGACATGTGCGCATAAATACCTGGACGAAGTCAAAGTTATTGCCTGCGTGTGCAGATTTAACCCCGGTAAAGACCTCGAGTGTCGAGTGCCGTGAGCGCGCATGTATAGGGAAGAAAAGAGCGATGAAAGCCCAGTGAGAGGCTAAATTTATGGACCTCATTTCGCATTGAGAGGAGGAGAGAGAGAGAGAGAGGTAGCTGTGCTATTGTGAGCACAAAAGTAAAGGGAAATGCTCGTGATGATTTTTTTCCTCCAAAAACATTTCTCGTTTATTTCTATTTTCCTCGGCGATATTTTACGTCAGGGATCTAATTGTTGTGTATTACCTGACTCAAGGAACTAATGTTTGACAGAACGAAATAATGTTGATTGTATATCGACCTGGAGTTGGTGACTTTTTTATGGGAAAAGAAAATTTTCTACACTCGTACGTCTAAATCTTCATACGCTACGTAAAGCGTGAAAATAAATTAAATTCAAATGCCCTTCTATAATCTGCTGCAAAACAAATTTCTCGTTCTCTCTCTTTCACGCTACTGCTACTTCTTGTTTTCTTTGGCAAAGCCCAAAACGTACTCTCACAAACATGGCGCATATAAGGCCGAAAGAGGGAGTGATGAGGTTGAAAAGAGATACACTGCTGTAGCAAAGTTTCCAGAAGAAAGAGAAGGGAAAGGGGAGCGAGAGGGAAGCGCAAGGAAAATGTTTTCACGACTCCACTAGACCATCCCTCGCGCGAGCGAGCGCTAAACTCGAGCCTTTATTTACTCGATGTTGGATGGACGGCAAAAGGAAAATAGCCGAGCGCGTGTCCATGGAGAGCGCGGTGAGTCGAGCGAACTCGAATCTTCCTAGACTAGCCGGCTCTACTTTTTCGAGTTTTCCTAGCTTGCAACCCCAGCATGAGTAAATGTGTGCTGATCTTTTTTTTATTAAAAATATGTGCATCCATTTTTTGATGTCAAGGCTTAGATTTTAAATTGAAAAATTGAAGAACGATTGACGATACAATTTTAGTTGAAAAAATATAAAGTATTTTGAAATTTTTTAAACCAATAAACTTCAAAATGTTTCTATTTCTCGAAAAAAATCGTGTTTTTTGCACCACGCATCACAGGAGTTTTCTATGCTATATGTGAACGCAATGGGTCGACACATTTTATCCCAAAGAAAATAATCCCATCAACGGCGACGACAACAACTACAACAACCAGCGATAAAAGCGGCAGAGACGAGTCTTTCAAAAACTATCAAACTCACTCCTGCAGACCCCATCTTGCAAGCAGACATACAGACATTATAACCCGAGAGAGATCCATTCTCGCACAACATAGTTTTTGAACTCGTTGCGCGCTGTCGGCAGGCGCGCGCAAACACATGTTTTCGAAGGACCGGAAGTCCGAATGACGGCTGAACCACCCTTGCGCGCCGTTGACTGTTTTCGCGTGTCAAGCCATATATTTTCTCGCGAAATGGTAGTTTGTTGACGCAGCTCTTGCCATAATATATCTGTATTTTGTAGCAGTAGTAGTCGTCGCTGCCGCCGCCGCCGCCGCCATCGCGTATAGCGAGGTGAAAGGGTAAAGTGACAAACAAGCCTCGCGGAAAAACAGACTAAACTCCTGCAGCAACTGCGCCGCGCGAGATCGCGGCATTATTCATAAATTTCTGGAGCTTTGGATTAACGTCTCACCACGCACGAATCCGGCTAGTTTGTATAACGACCCTAGAGAATTTTTTTACGAGCTACCCATTATACGAATTTATACTTTTATTTTTGGGAGAAAAATTTTACGTGCTCGGGTAGTGGGCAAAATTAATCAACGATTTCTTTTAAATGCAGCATAAAAAGTTAGCCGTTATTAATGTCTTAATGAAAAATCACACAACATAAGTTTTAAATGAAGCCA